CCTGTTCGGGATTCTGTGTGTGGGGGCTATGTGACTTTGTGGCAGGGGGAGGACGGTTACAGATCCCCTGCTGCATGGCTCTGTGATCCAGGATAAGGACCGCTGCATAAGATCTCTAACCGCCCTCCCCCGCCACAAAGTCACATATCCCCCCCCCACACACACACACACACAGAACATGAAAACCACCTCCCAGACTGACCAGGGTAACTAGTGACAGCAATGTGTGTGTGCCCTGCTGCTGAACCTGCCCCCGCCTCTGTACCCTGGTAAAGGTGACTGTCCTGTCCAATTACCAACCCCCTTCCCCCCCTTCAGACAGACTCTCCTCTAAATGAACATGATGGAAACAGTAATTAACAGAAACATATTTTTTATTAGCAACTACACATGAAACTGGGGGATGAAACTGGGACGGGGGCTTGGGTGAGGCGGGAAGGAAAGGACTTATCAAATTTTGGGGAATGAGAGCCTTCTGGTACTTGAGCAGTCTGCAGGGGTGCAGTGAGAGTTTTCACGGACTCTGCCGCCCCTCCTTCTTGGGACTTTGGGTGAGGGGGGTATGGGACTTTGTGGCGGAGGAGGGCGGTTAGAGATAGACTGCAGCGGGGCTCTGTCCTCCTGCCTCCGGTCCTGCAGAACATCCACAAGGCGCCGGAGCGTGTCCGTTTGCTCCCTCATTAGTCCAAGCAGCGTTTGAGTCACCTGCTGGTCTTCCTGCCGCCACCTCTCCTCCCGTTCCATGTGTGATCGGTGCATTTGGGACAAGTTCTCCCTCCACTGGGTCTGCTGGGCTGCCTGGGCTCGGGAGCAGCCCATAAGTTCCGAGAACATGTCCTCCCGTGTCCTCTGCTTCCTACGCCTAATCTGCGCTAGCCTCTGGGAGTGTGATGCCAGGCTAGGTCGGGAGACAGTCGCAGCTGTGGGATGGGAAAAAGGGAGTGAATTCCTCAGAAAGATAAATTTAGTTGTGAACAAAGAACATAGTCTTTCTCTGTGAACAAGACCATGCACAGCACCTATCACATGCGCACTCAGGACAAGGTCGAATTTTTGGCCTTCACATTCAGTGCCTGGGGCCTTGCAGTGCAGATCAGAGAAGCGGGGCAAGACAGTGGAATTTGTGTAGCAGGCCGACATGGTAAGCCGTAGACTTGTGGCTGCTTAAAACTTTAATAATAGCACTGGCCTCCTTTCACGTTCAAAGCAATGCCAGTCCCTGCTGCCAGCAATCCGGCAAGCATGAACTCTGCCCCTGTCCCACCCCCTCGCGGCTGTCCCAGGGAAAGATCCCTGTATGCTGCCCCTCTCCCACCTCCACCGCGTGGCTGTAAACCGCCGGTTACAGTTCTGTAAAGGAACAGGCAAGCAGTCCCAATACTAACATTCCCCTACCTAATTCAAAGCAGGTCACCATGAGCGACATCACTCTGATGAGGATTTCAGAGACAGAGAAAGAAAGGATGCTTCGGGAAAGCATGCAAAGACCAGGGCCGTATGCCGCCATGCTGTGCAAGGCAATGATCCCGGAGTACTTGCTTGTCTCCTGGCGCGGAAACGTTTCGTACCACGGAGGACCCAATAAGGCCGCTCTCCCCAGGAACCTGACGCAAAGGCTTTCCAATTACCTCCAGGAGAGCTTCGTGGAGATGTCCCAGGAGGATTTCTGCTCTATCCCCGGACATATAGACCGGATTCTACTGTAGCTGCACTGGCAGGGACTAAACAGTAGAGCGCCTAGGGCAAAACAATCATGCTAAACCGGACATTGTTAGATTTTTTTTCAGTAGTTGCACTGTCAAGGACTGAAACGTTAAGCGCCTAGGGCAAACTGATCATGAAAAACCCATTGTTAATATTGTTAATATTCCTGTTCTGTTAAAAATAAATGTTTACATGTTTAAAACACTTACTGACTGATCCTTCCCCTGATTCTGTGTCCGGGTTAACGCCTGGGGACGGTTGGTAGGGGATCTCTGTAAGGGTGATGAAGAGATCCTGGCTGTCGGGGAAATCAGCGTTGTACGCGCTGTCGACTGCCTCGTCCTCCTCATCTCCTTCCTCATCTTCCCCGTCCGCTAACATGTCCGAGGAACCGGCTGTCGACAATATCCCATCCTCAGAGTCCACGGTCAGTGGTGGGGTAGTGGTGGCGGCCGCACCTAGGATGGAATGCAGTGCCTCGTAGAAACGGGATGTCTGGGACTGGGATCCGGAGCGTCCGTTTGCCTCTTTGGTCTTCTGGTAGCCTTGTCTCAGCTCCTTGATTTTCACACGGCACTGCGTTGCATCCCGGCTGTATCCTCTCTCTGCCATGGCTTTAGAGATCTTCTCGTAGATCTTTGCATTCCGTCTTTTCGATCGCAGCTCGGAAAGCACGGACTCATCGCCCCACACAGCGATCAGATCCAAGACTTCCCGATGAGTCCATGCTGGGACCCTCTTTCTATTCTGAGATTGCATGGCCATCTCTGCTGGAGAGCTCTGCATCGTTGCCAGTGCTGCTGAGCTCGCCACAATGTCCAAACAGGAAATGAGATTCAAACTGCCCAGACAGGAAAAGGAATTCAAATTTTCCCGGGGCTTTTCCTGTGTGGCTGGTCAGAGCATCCGAGCTCGGACTGCTGTCCAGAGCGTCAACACAGTGGTGCACTGTGGGATAGCTCCCGGAGCTATTACCGTCGATTTCCATCCACACCTAGCCTAATTCGACATGGCCATGTCGAATTTAGCGCTACTCCCCTCGTTGGGGAGGAGTACAGAAGTCGAATTTAAGAGAGCTCTATGTCAAACTAAATAGCTTCGTGGTGTGGACGGGTGCAGAGTTAATTCGATGTAACAGTGCTAAATTCGACATAAACTCCTAGTGTAGACCAGGCCTTATATGCTAATTGTTACAACATTTGCAGATGACACCAACCTGAAAAGGGTTGCATGCCCCTGGGAAGACAGGTTTAGAATTCCATGAGTCATTGGAGCTTGCTTTGCCACTCTGGCCAGTTTTGATCTTGGTCAGTTTCAACTAGCTTCTGAATAAAGAACAGGAGTACTTGTGGCACCTTAGAGACTAACAAATTTATTAGAGCATAAGCTTCTGAATGACTCCTTATTCCACCCAGAGAGGAAGTGACACACACACCTATGTCTCTTAGGCTGCCCTGAGAGCAAATTTAAACCCTTTTTCCATGACTAGGTCATAGGGTTTCCAACTGTCTAATCCCACGAACCCAAACACCCTTGCTCCAACCCCAGCCCCGCTCCTCCCGAAGCCCCACCCCTGCCCCGCCCCTTCTCTGAGGTCTTGCCATCTGTTCACTCCATTCCCCATCCCTCCATCGCGCGCTTTCTCCCACCCTCACTCACTGAGGGTGGGGCAAGGGGTTGCGGTGCGGGAGCGGGTCTGGGGTGTGGGCTCTGGAAGGGAGTTTGGGTGTGGGTTCTGAGCTGGGGTAGGAGTTGGGGTGCGGGGTCTGGGAGGGAATTTGAGTGTGGGTGGGGGCTCAGGGATGGGGCAGGGGGTTGTGGTGCTTGCAGGAGGGGATATGGGCTCTGGCCAGGCGGAGCTTACCTCGAGTGACTCCCAGGAAGCAGCCAATGGGAGCTATGGAGTTGGCACTTGGGGCAGAGGCAGCATGCAGAGACCCCCTGACTAACTCTGTAGCTAACATCTGGACGTGCTACTTGCTTCCAGGAGCCACGCGGAGCCAGGGCACTTAGGGAGCCTGCCTTAGCCCTGCTGGGCCACCGGACTTTTAGTGGTATAACATCTCCTGGATTGGATTCAGTAGCCTCTTTCAGAACGAGCTCGATTCTGGGAGACTCCCGGTCAATCCAGGAGGGTTGGCAACCCTACTGAGTTGTCTTGAAACTTATAGAGGAAAGTAAGGCACACATAGGCCTCATAAAAATATTACAAAAATTTCCACTTTGTCACAGGCATATTATTGTGAGTATTATGTGCAAGTCATGAGTGGGAATTGTTCTGCTCTGGCACTGGTGACGATGCAGATGGAGTATTGTGTCCAGATTTGGGCACCACACTTTAAGGAAGAAGTGGACAATTTTGGCAGTGGTGGGTGGGATGGATCAGGGAATGGTAAACTTGCAGACCCAATGACTTGTCCAGCAGCAAATTTCTGCTGCCAGGGAGAAAGGGGGAGCAGAGACGAGGAAACTGTGTCTTCCTGAATCAGAAACCCTTCCCTTGGCTGGTCCAGGGGCAGTGTAGCAGAGAATTACCACCCCTCTGATGAGGCACAGAAGCTTGGTAGCATGTACCCATGGAAGCTTTAATAATACTGATGGATGCCAAGTCATCAATGAGAACTCTTGGCCTACCTGTGAGATAATAGAACTGCTTAAGGAAATTACCAGGAGAGAAAGCATGAAGATTGGTTGAGTTACCTCTGATGTCACCATGGCCCCACTTAAGAGTGACCCTGGGCTACAGACTTTGTCATATGCACCATCTGTTCGAAAACTATTATTTAATCACAACCTTTCTTAACAATTTAGCTTCATTAAAACAAAATGCCTTCAAATGTAAACTATACAGTATTTAAAATGTGTTCTAATTGAAGTGTATTCTTTCCCACTTTTAAGATCACTCAGGACAAACAGGGAGCAAGGACAAATGTTAACTTTCTGAAAGAGCACATTTTAAATTATTTCATTAGCATGAGCTAATTATCATATTTATTTGAAAGTCATCCACACACCAGGAATAAGTACTATACGTTCAAGGAGGATACACTGTATGCTTCAGAGATGGGAGTGGAAATGGGGGTGCAGTGAATGTCTTAAGATTTGGAATACTAATTTTTTTCCAACATATATCACATAGCCAAAGTAAAAAACTGCCAGGCTCTGCCCTTGGACGCAGGAAGTCCTGATCCTGCTAGTCTTGCGTTCCACTGGCACAGTAACATGAACTTGGGCTACACACATGAGCCAGAGTTTGCAGGTTCATATATCTATGATTGCCCATTAAATATATATTATTAGCTTGAAATGCAGGTATTCCTGTAAATGACAAAAAATCTAAGTACAGCTTTTCTCAAGGCTTCCTTTACCTCCATGTTTCTCAGGCTGTAGATGAGGGGGTTAACCAAAGGGGTCAGGACTCCATAGAAAACAGAGCACACTTTGTTCAGGTCCCTCAGTGCATCAGAATCCGATAGCAGATACACAATGATGAGGGTTCCATAGAAAATTGTCACCACAATGAGATGAGAGGAGCAGGTGGAAAAGGCCTTTTGCCTGCCGGTGGTGGACGGGATTCTCAGGATGGTGGAGACAATGTGAACATAAGATGCCAGGGTCAATATAAATGGAGGAAATGTGAATATGGATGCATGTATGACAGCTGAAATTTCCAGCCAATGAGTGTCACTGCAGGACATTTTCATTATTGGGCTTAAATCACAAAAGAAATGATCAATTTCATTGGGGCCACAGAATGTTAATTGTGACAACATAAATATTAAGATGGCAACAGACGTAAAACCACCTATCCATGACCCAACCACTAATTGGAAGCAGAACTTGCCATTCATTAGTGCTGCATAATGCAGAGGTTTGCATATCGCTAAATACCGATCATAGGACATCAGAGATAAGAGAGAACATTCTGTGGTTGCCAGAGAACCAAAGAAATATAATTGTGTGATGCAGACAGAAACAGAAATGGTTCTGTCCCCAGTCAGGAGACTGTCCAACATCATGGGCAGGATGGCTGAAGTGTAGCAGGTCTCCAAGCAGGACAAGTTCCCCAGGAAGAAGTACATGGGGGTGTGAAGGTGCTGATCAGTCACAACTAGCACAATGATAAGAATGTTCCCAGCCATCGTTGCAAGGTAGATCACTAAGAACATCAGGAAGAGAACACCATGCAGTCCAGGGAGAACCCCAAATCCCAGAAGGATGAATTCTGCGACGGTTGTTTGATTTCCCTGAAATCTGTTTTCTGTGGATTTCATCTAGGGTAAATAAAACAAATTCTGCAATTGATCATCTAACTTCCATTTCAAAACAATCAACATTTTAATTTCAGCTTCCCCCTGCAGATTGCCATCCCAATGGTGGACTCAAGACTCTGTAGGGCGGATGCATTCTAGGTAAATTTTTTTGAAAAGAGCCTATGTTAATTCATTTTGGAAACATTGCTACTGTCTGGAATCTCTTTGGTAGAACACATCTAACCTTTTGTTTCTTGAACATGCTTGTGTATTACTTTAGCCACAGTGTCTGAGATTAATATTGGAGGCTAAGGGAATTAAATATCATCCCATTAATTTCATAAGAAAATGCTAGAAGAAACATTGTTGCTGGGCTCATACCCCATTTGCACACGTTTCCACTATAGAGTGCAGCAGTGCAATGGACTCTAGATTTTTGATTCCAGAAACCTGAGTTTCATTCCTGCCTCTCCACTCCTTGCCTCTGGGTTTGTCACTGTCTGTCTCTGTGCTTCAGTGTGATACCGCTTTCCATTTTCTTAATGTGACTTGAGATTTAGGAAACAAGTAGTCTCTGCATATGCTCACGTGCTCTTGTGTAAAATGGAGACCATAATACTTAATCCACTTGACAAAGTTAATGTTAATAAGTGCTATATAATCTTTAGGTATTATCATACAGTAATGAGACCGATGCAATCTTCGAAGAGAAACCAAACATGGACCACAGTCACATCAAATTTTTCTATTTGCTGCTCAGTTTCTGCAGAAATGGTATCAGTCGTTTGTTTACCAATACATATTTTAGACATTTTCTTTTCTCATTCATATTACAAAGATATATCTCCCAAATCTCTCCTAAAGGTAATCAGATAGTATGTTTATTTCTCTGCAAGGATAGACACAATCCTTTTTGAGATCTGTTCAGTGCCAATCACTTATGGATAAAATTTTCAAATATGCCCAAGGCCAAATTTGGAAAACTATCCATGCATCCAAACCTGCAGATAGTGCCCTCAGTGCCTTTAAAAATCTGCCCTTGAGATACCATATTAAAGAACATACCATAAGAACATAAGAACGTAAGAAGGCCATACTGGGTCAGACCAAAGGTCCCTCTAGCCCAGTATCCTGTCTTCCAACAGGGGCCAATGCCAGGTGCCCCAGGGGGAATGAACAGAACAGGTAATCATCAAGTGATCCATCCCCTGCCATCCATTCCGAGCTTCTGACAAACAGAGGCTAGGGACACCATCCCTTCCCATACTGGTTAATAGCCATTGATGGACCTATCCTTCATGAATGTATCTAGCTCTTTTTTGAACCCTGTGATAGTCTTAGCCTTCACAACATGCTCTGTCAAAGAATTCCACAGGTTGACTGTGTGATGTGTGAAAAAAATAATTACTTTTGTTTATTTTAAACCTGCTGCCTATTAATTTCATTTGGGGACCCCTAGTTCTTGTGTTATGAGGAGTAAATAATACTTCCTTATTTACTTTCTCCATACCATTCATGATTTTATAGACCTCAGTCATATCCCCCCTTAGTCGTCTCTTTTCCAAGCTGAAAAGTTCCAGTCTTATTAATATCTCGTCATAAGGAAGCTGTTCCATACCCCTAATCATTTGTGTTGCCCTTTTCTGAACCTTTTCCAATTCCAATATATCTTTTTTGAGATGGGGCGACCACATCTGCTTGCAGTATTCAAGCTGTGGGCATACCATGGGTTTATATAGAGGCAATATAATATTTTCTGCCTTTTTATCTATCACTTTCTTAATGATTCCCAACATTATATTTGCTTTTTTCACTGCCACTGCACATTGAGTGTATGTTTTCAGGGAACTATCCACAATTACTCCAAGGTATCTTTCTTGAGTGGTAACAGCTAATTTATACCCCATCATTTTATATGTATAGTTGGAATTATGTTTTCCAATGTGCATTACCTTGCATTTATCAACCATGGATAGCTAGAGAGGCTGCTTCAGCAGTTTGGGGAATACATTTTGGTCCAGTTGTTAATTCCATTTGGTTTTATGAAAGTTATTTCTAATTGTAACCATCTTTCTGGAAGAGATTATCTCTTTTGTAGCAGGAAACATGCCAGAGGTCATGGGTAATCTATGCCCAGAAAACAGAGAAAGTGAATGGCTCATCTCTGGTGAACAACGTGAGTGTTGAGAGCTCCACCTGTAGGAACAGTGACCAGTCACTATCCAGATCTAGAGGGCTCAGCAGCACATAGGATTCAGAGAATGGATCCAATGACTACTGTCCAGTGTCCTTTCAGAGAGGGGAAACAGACTATGATGTTACAGTTGCGTGTAGGTTTTCACCATGATTAATATTTGGAATTACCCCAGTAAAGAAACCTGTAGGGATATTCAATATTCCAAAGCATAGAAAGGACTTGCTGATTTCTAAAGTCACCTATTAGACACAAGGCTTCTGATGACCATGAAAGATTTGCTGCTACAAGCACAACTGTCATGGTTTGTTATTTCACCCTCACTTTTTTTGAAACTCCATTACTGATACCAGAAAGCACAGATAGGGTTGAAATTTGGTAAATGATGTAATAACCTAATATATGTGAAAATGTGGAAAGATGTTCTTCATCTATTCAATTTAAGTACAGATGTAATCTGGCACACCATTAGTGCTCATTCTCTATTCATGAACTTAGCTCCTACAAAATCAAACACACAACTAGAACCCAACATTTCAACTTTCAAATAAACATTTGGGAATGGTTACATACATCTTCACAGACAATCACACTCTTATTCAGGTGTGGATGCTCTAGTCAGGGGAATCTAGTAATTCCCCAGTGAGTGAAGGAGAATGACTCACAGACCGTGGGAAATGAAATGCAAGAAATAGGGCCACCTAGAAGGAAATTTACACTGTTTGGAATTTTGACTTCATGCAGAATGAAAGGGTTGATGTTTTTGAAATGCTGAAAGTGTTTCAATGGGACTTATTCATCTAATTGTCAAAAAGAAAGATTATTTTCAATGGCAAAAGTAGGGCAGGTAGGTTGAAATTCCAAATGTTGGTCATGACTGGCTTGGTTGAAATTGCAGACTATATCATACAATTCCAGGATTGTGACTCTATGTGTCATCCTGAAGTGTATTCAGCCTGAACATCAAAAAAAGGAGTCCTACAAAAGGTGCAAACATGGACAAATAGCTAAGGATGAGTACAGAAGAACACCACAAAATCAGAAAGACTGTAGGACAAAATGAGTTTCACTAGCAAGAGATAAAGGCAAGAAGAAGAGGAATTAGAAGTACATTAGGAGAAAAGAAAGATGAAGGAAAGCGTAGGTCCCCCATTTATCATGGAAAAAGAGTTAATCACAGATGAAATCAAGAAGGCTGACAAATTAACACAACTAGCCACACAACAACAGAACCACGACACACAATAGCCACAAGTGCACATAGCCCTCCTTCACAGCCCACACCCACACAAATCAACCCAAATCTCCCAGCACAACACAACCACCACACAAATCAACACAACCACCCGCAAAACAGTGCAATGAGCACACACAATAAACCTGAACACACATAGAACCCACACTGCAGTACAAACCCCTCATATGTCACCCGCACAAATCAACACTTATGTCCCAATACAACACAACCCACACACAAATCAATGACAAGCACTCAAACAACTCAACCAGCATGCACAATAACCACAAACATGATTCTGAAGCCCAGAATGTCTACTGAGTCCATACGAAATGATGGAAACAGTTCCCAGAATAGCTGATAGCTCTTTCTATTTAGAATAGCACCAGGTTCAATTATCATTGACATTCACAGTCAGCTACTTCCCAGTTCTTAAGTTCTCAGTCATTTGGGGGCTTTTTAACACACGAGTGTACAAATTACACTCGTGTGACAGCAACTAGAGCAGGTAATGTTTAGAAAAGGAAGGGCCTAAGACAAATTTGAAATGATTAGCTCTAACTTGCAAAAAAACACTTTTATTAATCCCTAGTGGATAGAAACTAGATGTTACTCTCCTTTTCCTTCCCCGCCCTGTTCCTCCCTTTTCCCCCTTCACATCCAATTCCTTTACCTTTCTGTGGTTTCTGTTTATTATTATTATTTTTATTATTATTATTATTATTTATTTATTATATTAGTTTGTTTTGAAGGGAGGAACCAATAAAAAATAAATAAATAAAATATGTGCACATTTAAAATTGCAATACTGTAGATTAGTTATCCTTTAAAATAAAATGAAGATTTAAGCATTTTAAGGAGTCAATTAGGAAACAATTCTGCTTTCACTTACCCCTGTATAAGTCAGGAATAACTGAACTGAAGTCAATAGACATGGACAGCTATAAAACTGGGCTAAATGAGAGGAGAATGACACCAAAAGGAGGTCTCTTCTTCTTCCTCAATATTTCAATGTAATGCACCTGCACCGGCACAGAGTATCACTTTCACAGTATGATTCCTGGTGTGCTGTGTTGCAATCACCTTTATATATTTTGTTGACCATGTGGGAATTTCCCCCAAATAGACTCTGCTGTGATGTTGCCTGGCAACCAAGTAATAAATGGCAGAGAAGTCAATCTTCCAGAACGACACAAAGTTTTCTGCTCCATTTGATACAGGGATGGGATTTAGAACAGAGACCTTCAATCCATGGACCTGGAAGAGATGAGGAGGAGTCAATTGGTCATCCAAGAAAGCAGCAGAGAGGCACATGAATGTGGTTCCCTAGCCAGTGCTTTGCAGTGACTGTGCTGTAGAATGGAGCTGTGTAGCTGCTACATGATATGGACATGCTGATACAGCATCAGAATCCAGATGTTGTCAAAGGGCAGCCAGCCTGGGGGATCATGGTTATAGGTCACCCTCCATCAGCCTCATTTCACTCTAGGGAGACTATCATTCCTGCTGTATCTCCAATGTCTTTGATGGAGTTAGTCCATCATTGCCTCTTACCTATTACTTCTTTTCTTCAACATTTCAGGCTCTCCT